GTAAAACAATATCCTTGAATAAAATAAATGGTTTTATTCTACATCAAATTAAGCTTGTAACAGAAAACCTAAATAAGATCATAGCTTACTGGACAGTGTTTGTACACAACGTTTGTTTAAAACCTAGAATTTAACAGACTATGATGTAGAATTTATGTGTTCCACTAATTTATTATACTAGGTTGTAGAACTACAACTAATTTTAAAAACTTCAAATTTTAAAAACAATCGCGAAAAAGCAAGCAAGATAACATAAGAACTATAGCAATTTGTTTGTTAAGCAACAAGTGAACATATCAATCCTTATCGGAAAAATATTTCCTACATACGGCTATGTTGATGATCATTAACAGGAAGCAAGCAGATGGCTGGAATCGGTTTTCTCACTCCTTCTTCCATTCCTAAAGCTAACCAGTCTGATGGAGTGCGAAAGTCATATTGGTCATCATCAAAGTATTCGAGAGGTAAATATGAAGTCCATGAGTTTTTCTCAACCATATATTTTTCACAGAATCTTGGTAGAAGCTCGTTCGCCTGAATATGATACTCTTGTTCCAGTATTTCAGAAATGGATAAATTTTGAAACTTTCTTTTCTTCCTGTAAATTTTAAAAGATATTCTAATAACCGATTTCTTACCTCTCTATGTGCAGCTTTCTGGGACAATGTTTGGGTGGCGTGTAAAAGGGAACTTGCACTTTGGGATCAAAAGACCTAGGGGGAAAATCCTTTGTGCTTAAGGAAAAACAGGATAAAAGTTACCACAAACATGTTAATTTCACTGGTTGGACCATGAATGTCAGTACAATTAATAAGAGGTTTATTAATATCTAATTCAGCTGGAAAATGATTTAAGACAAAGTACTATAGTATACCATGAGGAAGAAAGCAGTTCTCTTTACTATAGTTAATTATGTGTTGATTGAGACTTGCAGCTAAGTTTTGGAACTAAAAGCGAATAGTAAGTTATTTCAAAACATACATCATAGTGTCGTGTTAGATTCGCAGTGTATTGATCAGTGTAATATCCACTTTGCTTAATTTTATGATGGAAATCTTTTTTTTCACCAGACATTTTGAATTCCTGCACAAATCAAAAAGCAAGTAAATATTATTGTGTTATCGCCTAAAAATTCATTTTTGAAATGTGTCAAAGATGTCTCTATGACATTACTTTATGTGAAGTAGTTAAACAAAAATCCTTTTAGTAACAAGAATACTAAGTAGGTCGGTGTCTTTAAATTCTTGCATTTTGTTTTCAATTTCAGTTAAAGCTTTGCCAGCTTCACTGCTGGAGTTGATACAACTTGTTCATGTAAGGTGGCATGTTATTGGACACACAATGAGTAGAAAAACGGAATCCCACCCTCATTTCATATGATCGCGGTTTTTCAATCTTTTTATTGTAGCTACGGAGATTATTACTTTTGAAGGGAGCATGAGGATAACACAAGTTAACAACCAGATAATTATTAGAAAAAAGAAATGCCAATAAAGGTCAACTCGCTTTCCAGAATATAGAGGGAAATCTTCAAGCTCTTTTAGCTCTCATCAGCGGACTTTGAAAAGTCACAATGCTGCCTTCTTACTCCCACACACTAGATACGTTTGAGTGCTGCGACGTCCTCCATGAGGCATGAACACGCTGCCTCGATGAAATACATTGCGTGCGCGAAACATATATTTATATATATATATATATATCCTCGTCAAAGCATTTGAATGCTCAGTGAAATGACCGGAGAAACGAATAGTATTCGCGGTTCGACAACGCTTTATTCTGTAACATTCTCTCGAATGAATTATGCCAACTGCGTCAAATCAGAAGTCAGGAATGGAGAAGTTCGATGATATATTTGATAGGCTATCGATATATCGGGAAGTAGTTTTTCTAAGTTTGTTTGTGGTTGTAGGAGATTTGTAGCACGACGTACCCACCCGTGTTGTGGTGCGGATGAGTGACTAGGCAGCTTGAGGTAGACGAATTCGGTAAAACTAATGCGCGCAGCATCATATTTTGAAGACTTACAGACCTCTTGATTTTAGGGATTTATCCACCACTACATGACCATAATGCTGGAAAACTTATTGAGGGAATCGCACTTCCATTTTCAGTTGTTTTCAAATCGAAACTTGTCAATACTTCTAGGCCGTTTTGTTTCTACTTGCGTAGGATCCATTTGCCGCTGACACTATTCTGGCAATCATTACCGTATACAGTGTCCGTTAGCACACTCATTAAAGAGCCGATTCTTAAGCCTACACTTTGAGATCATTTAAGTAGTTCGGCCTGAAAATCAAAGTTATCAACCTCACAGATTAACCTCCTTCAGAATTTTGACATCGTATGCAAACAACAGTATCGACGACTTAAGCAGTTTCAGTAATTCATAGGTGTGGTGATGACAAAACAAAGATCGTAAGATAATATCTTGGGTACACCACTTCATTCATATAGTGTCGCACATACACTCACCCTCTGTTCTCAGCCATAGAGGAAGTTATTCCAAGACCCGACCTTCTGCATAAGCCCTAAGTGAGACACCTTATTAGGTGCATAGTTACAACCTATGAATATCACACAAATAAACGGTGAGCCTTTACAACTGTCTTACCATCCATTGCAATTAATAAGTTACCTAAGCAAAATTGTTTATTCCGAAATGAGTGTAGATCAGACGTTAACAGACTGTGTGTACATCAATAACTTGGTAAAAATGAATCCTTTAAATACCTTGACTGATATGCCACTGGGACTGATGGGTTTGTAAATGCGCATGATCTATGTGTTTTCATACTTAAACATAAGGTTAACTATCACATCCCCAGGAATTTGAGTTTAGGAGACATATTGAACAGCATTGTTGGTGGTTCTGGTGTGATGTCCGCTAGAAATGATAGCAATCGCGTGTGTAACCCATCAGGACCAGGTGACTGACCAGATCAAAAGCGAATAAACAATCAAAGGAAAGTCACTACAGTCACTTGCACTGGTCTTATTGCTGCGTGAGATAGAAATCTAGTCATAACGCACATCATAAGGATATGATTACATCGATAATCATTTAACAGTACTACAGTAAAAATTACCTGAGGAACAAAAAGCGAGATTGCCGAATGGTAGAGTAAAGGGGATGAGGAATAATGTTACCAACAAGTACATCAAATGGCCCAAACGATAATGTGATGTAGATTTTCATTGCAGCGACAACTATGAATTTCAACAAGCGTAACAAACTCGTATCTCCTGGCATGGCCTTACCTAATATAACAGTGGTTCCTCAAAAGACTAACGATTGAAGAGTTGGCTTGGAAGACAGACAAAAGCCTAGTTGTTATAATAAAGCGAATGTTTGCTTTTTGTCGATCAATTATTCCCAAGATATGCTAACCAGGTGAAAACAACCTTGAAAGTGAAGGTTTAAGATTAATGATTGAACAACCATAAACTCAGTCACAGAATAGATAGAATGCTGGACACCGTGACAACTGTTTTATCGAAACGAACCTAATAGACCAATCTGACCTCCTCTTCGTGCATTAGAACAAAAAGAATAGATATTTATTTGTGGATAGAGATAAAATGTTCAGCTACCTCGAATGTACCCCTTAACAGCCCGTTGACTTGTGTAGTTTATTCTTTCCTAAGGGAAACTGCGGATTAATGGGGTTGATAGTAAACATGTTTATAGAACTCAATAGTATACTAACTCAACAAATAGTCGTACCGACTAAGACAAAGAAAGTAGATCACAACTGCAGAAAGCTGCCTTCCTTCACTTGTAATCTACGGTTATCAGTTTAGTAGTATCCCTTCTAAACAGATCTTAGATATGAGGTTCATATGGGCCTGGACGTGGAGCAGATTGGAACCAATAATCCTAATTGTGATAAAGGGGACAAAGAATCGTGCGAAGACCGAAACCACTAACCTTGAAGTTCAAGAAGCATTACTTCGACTACAACTAATCGATATATATACACTATGCTGTCCAAATTGATATATACCCTCCTGAAGTTTCGAAAGTCTGTGTGAGAAGAGAATGATCTCCCGGAAGACATATATTTTAGTAATAACATGTTGTTCTCAAATAACTATAGGTTATGTGATAGATGCCTGTTTACAGTCAGAATCAATCTGTAATATGTGTTGTAAAGCATGCTGCATGTCACTATTTGGCCAGGCTGATATGTTACCGAATGCAGAGAGACAAATTTTAGGGCGTGAAAACATAAGTAATGATAAATATTATACTGAGCTTCTAATGCAAAAATATATCAGTGGTAGCATGGAAGGCATATAATGTAGGTGTGTACCCGTCGAACATACATTTCTGATCGGTGACTCGGAATACTGCCAGTCGACCATTACAGTTATTCTGGGAGTTGTCTCGTAAAAAAGGAAAACAGGAAGACACTCAGCAGTGCAATTTACCACAAGTGACCAATAAAATTTGTTTTTCGGTGACTGAAGAGTTAAAGCATGATTACTCAGTAAATAAGACCAAAACTGAGTCTCTTTCATTAGATTAATTGTTACACAAGAGCCTTTAAATTCATTGGAGAACCAGGTCGTAAAAGTGCAACTAAACGACACCTAACGACTTTGGAGTCATCGTTGGTCAACAGTTAAAAACTTTTAAATACTGCTGTGCAATAGCTACCAAAAGTTTTGGAACTCTTTGGTCAAGTTGTTGGTCCTTCAACTATGTCGACGGTAGAACGTCTATGACTTTGTATACAGTTTTCGTGAGTCCTAAACTCCAGTACTACATGCAAGCGTCAAGCCCCTGAATAAAAAAGACAATAAGCTTCGTCGACTTACAAAAGAAAGGTGGGTCATTGGAGAAAGACCATCATTGCCAGGACTAACACAGGCCATCAAGCTTCCTGTCTTTTTTTAAACCGACACCGAAGTATGAAGTCATGAGAACGACCTTGAGAAATCTGCCAAGATGAAATTTATATGACTTACTGTGATACGGCTGCATTTGTGTTGAAATGGGTAACTACCTAAAACAGTACTTTGGATTTACAATTGTTTTCTTAACTCCAACAATTTTGATGTTATGGCTTTCTATCAGGTTGCTCACTCTACATTCCCAACAGGCATATCGATATTTAAATGAACTTTTATTCTCATTCTTTATGCGAACCTTTCTATTTATATTTGGATACATGAATGTCAGAAAGGTACACAATTTTAAAGCTTATTATTTAAGATATATGTTTACGGCGACGTCGATTTTATCAAAAGGAAAAATGAGAGAGTTTTATTCATCTCAAATCATTTGTCTAAAGGTAAATAGAATTTAAGTTCTTGTGATCATTTGTACAGCCGATTGGTTCATTTGTTCCATGCTTATTTTATATCAAGGTGTGTTGGGAAGAACAAGGTTTGTGCTGCATAAAAATCTCAAATATACACCGATTTTTGGATTTTACCTTTCCCAGGTAAATTTGTTGTTGAGTCTGTTTCTTTTAACAAGTTACGAAACTTTTATTGAGTTGTGGTTAGTCTATTAAGATAAAGATTTTGAAAATAATTCTTAAAGCGATGACTTATAAATAAGACGCGCTTGGGTAGATGCGTAATTAGCAACCTCATACTACAGATAGAAATTGTAATGGCTATAAAAATGATTTGTATCGAAACATGGTACAAAAACACAGCTTAAGAATTTATCATAAGTGTTTTTTAATACTTTAAGTTAGAAGTTTGAGGGTCGCGAAAGGTTAGTTAAACATTAGATAAATAAAATGTATGAGCTGTTCCTAAACTATCAGTAATTGTTTCACTTGTTATCGACGTTTCTTAGATGATAATTAGTTGGATACTGTGAAATAACTGATGTCCATTTTATCCAGAGTTTACTTTTACCACAAATAAAACTTCTCAGTAACTGGATTTCGACATTGTTCATCCAATACTTCCAAAAAGTCTTAATTATTTCATGTGCTGTACTCTAAAACTGAAGACGTCTACAGATCACTTGCTGTCAACCAAAGTGTATCACAATACTTAAGCGCTCAGTTTTATTCAACTTTTTCACCTCAACGCCTAGTCAGTGGAGTTATTTACTCAGATATCTTTTTCTCTGGCAACTTAGGGTTTGTGTAGCTTTCTCACTCGATTACATAAATTAAAAAATAACTTGGCTGTTTGTGATCGTAAACCTAATATTTCTAGAAAGAAGTAAAAACACTTAGGTTATCTTATTTTTTTGTGTCACACCGTTTATGCCTTCATTTTTCGTGTACGTGTTATTAGTATTTAAATATTTTTTATATGATGTGACTCGTCAAGGTAAATCTAATCAATTTTAAACATATCCAAGTATGAAGTACTAACTCTTCGTCATCATGTATAATGTTTTGAATACGTTTTGGGTGAGAACTTTGTTGATAAATGTGTTTATATAACCACTGACATCTGACACAAAAATTTTCATGTTCAAATGATATCCGCGGCACAAGAGATAAATTTTTTGTTTATAAATCCAAGGATTACTATAGTAACTGAGGAATACTCTAACGTGTAGAATTATATTTAAAGTAATATAGCAAAATGTGAGAGTTATTAAGTGATCTAATCAAGATATAATGCATGGATGTTACGTTACTATTTTTTATTATTGGCTGTCCAAAATGATGTTTCAGAGCGGGTTCCTTAAATTAAATAAAACGACATGTTACCGAAATTATGTGCAAAAACACAAATTGAAAAAATCTGGGAAGCATTCTAATTTTCTTTATTTCTGTAGATAAAAAATACTTACTAAGTGTGTGTAAAAGTTTTATGTATCCCACTCATTTAAACACTAATAACGGTAGTTTTAGAAATTCCTCGTCATCGAAGGTGTGGAAATGGGTGTACCTACTGTTATGTAGTGCATACATCAAAATTTTACTCCAAGGCTTCCGGTTCGAAGACCGAATACTATATGCTGCTGTCATATGGCAGTTTCCTGTTTGTTATGCTTGAAAACATTCTATACTTTACCAGCTTCCATGGTATTGATTAACCAAGATTTTGAAATGAAGTATTTTCCGTGCGGTTTTCAAGTCAACTGATTATTCACTTAGTTTTCAAGTTATGTATTATTTACCTTACATTATTGATTTTCGGCAGTTTAGATGGTCTTTAAGGTCTTGTGAGTGATAATTTGCCGATTACAATACGCGACATTCATTCTGAGCAGAATTTGCATTTTTCCTGATTTGTATGAATTCGATTATCCTGAATGAATCGAGGCTCGCTTTCTAGGACGTAATTTATTTCATCCCTATTTATGTTGTTTTCCTCTGTTAAAGTGTCTTCAAAGTAGTGATCGATGTGTAAATGTTGGAGTGTATCATAAAAATACTGGTTTCTGAGTTCACATCTTCATTGGGGTCAATGGGCGAAAACTGTCATACTTTGTCTGTGAATACTGAAGACATTAGTATCAGACACTGAAACGTATTGCACATTTGAATGTTACACGTTTGTAACGAAATGGTCAGTATATCTTTTAGTGCCCTCGTTTTGATAATGAACTGGATAAGCCCATTCAATAACCGTAACAATTTTTTATTCAAAGATCAATAAAGTCATTTACTGTGTTTAAACTGCACTCAGGCTAACATCATGTGGTTTTTTGTCTAGCGATAAATGAACAGTGTCTTGTAAGACGTGAAGATATATAAATTTTTCGTACTCAAAAAAGAGACAAAGCTCAGAACGGAAGAGCTTTTTATATAATCTATGTGATAACTGGCCTACACTAATACTTAAATAATTATAACTTCCGCAAACTGGCAGATATCATGACGACAAATTGAAACAATTATTTATTTACATTGATTTGCGAAAGTGGATGAAGCTGATAGTAACCTGTTTATGAGTTAAAAAGAAGTTTACAAATCTATTACAAAATATGACTTATTCATTGAAAGCTTATAAAACTTTATTCATGTGTGCACATTTATCATTATAAACACTGTGCAAGATGATTTCAAGATATTTAATAATAGATACAATATTGCATTGGTTTTCAATGTTTCTCAAATTAATTCAGCCTCATGTCTGAAATAGTGCAATAAAACTCTTCACGATTACAGGTTCTCTTCGTACTATCGAAATACTAAAAGGTTGCTTAGAATTCTGGAGATCTAATAGTAAATTTAAGAACTTTGTTTTGTTCTTAAGACAGAAAACTAGCTCTTATGCTTAAGTGTTAACCAAAATATAGCATAATAGTGGGGAACACTGTTAGAAACCATTTTTCTGAATTCAGAAATGTCAAATTTATGTTACACCCAGAATATAAGTATCAATCAGTGTGCGCCTTCATTATCTTGTCATACTGTAAAAATGTTAGAATATATGCTGTTGAATAACTATTATCTTTCGTAGAAAGAAACGAGTCTTCTAACGTTTAGCCACTTATTCATTTACTGATTTTTCTTTAATTTTCTCTATTAGGACTCTTGCATATTTGTTGACCGAAGTAATTTTGACGCAAAAGCCGCTATCAGCACACTAAATGATATTAAACAACTTCAGTCTAATGTAAGTTGATGTCAGTAAAATGTATTCTGTGTTCTAAAAATTGATTTTTGAATTAACTTTAAATATATCAACTTGATATAAATATAAGGCAGAAGTGTATGCTCGAAAAACTGCTAACCTAATTGTTTTACAATAATAGTTTATGAAGTAAATCATACAAATAATTGGAAACAAAAACGTGTCTCAGTGCTAACTATCTATCAGTAATTTCAAAATCAGCCGAAAATTTGAGGTTTGTATTTGTTAATTAAAAGATTGTCAACCAGATTTTCACCTAGTGAAATTTTAAACTGAACAAAACACCAGAACTCACTTTCATATTAATCAGAAGTAGGACGGATATGTTGATGAATATCTTGTTCTTTATTAGTGACAAACGTGTATATCCTATCTAGTCAGAAGACCATTTTGAACTGCATAAATGTGGTTTTCCAAAACATATGATGCAACAACACTAGGTATTTTGGAAAACAATGTTTTAAGCAGTATATATTTGCTTAATCGCTACTTGACTTATTTTAAACATCCTCTATTCCCATATCCAGTTAGGAGTATATATGCAAATGATTTGTATTGAAATCATAAATTCGTCTAAATTAGACAGTCATCGAAAACAAGGAAGTAAGTGATTTCCCAAGTCTCTCATGTCTTGGTATAAACTTTGGCATCTCGGTTAATATGTTTATTGGAGCTATCGTATGTTGTAGCTTGAAGAAAAAATGTATATATTTAATGAATATTTTAAAATCTGCCAACCAAGAAAACTGTATCATACTAACAATTCATCCGATTTATTTTGCTGGTTACTTGTATCAAAATATTCTTATTTGAGTCCATTGTCTCTTAACTGAAGTGTTTATAAGACAATCGAAAATATTGTTTAAGTATAGATTAGAATGGTTTACTACCAAAGGTTACTAATATTCGACGAATTAGTTGATCTTCGTTTAGAACATCAAATTAATATAAGACCTATCTATAAATGTAGGAATTCGTTAGGAATTGTTGTACTTTTGAATCTATGCTTCATGAATTACGTACAGTATGAGAATAGTAGCTTATCTTTGAGAATATACAGTATAATATTTATGTTGTTTACTTCTGATCGCTTTGCAACGACAATAACAAGGGATGAAATTACAGGATGTTTAGTTTATTTACAGTCTATCTATACTATACTCGACTGTTTGGGCTATATTCTGTGATTTGATCACTGAACAACCAGTCACTTTTTACTTATCTAATTGTGATTACATTTCACTTATATACTAGACATCGCTTATTCACAATCTGGGTACAAGCCAATATTATTTTGTTAAGACTGAATCAAAATCACTATTGCTTAAAAGTTTATTTGACACCAATAAAGTTCTACTGTAAATCAAACTAACTGAATTATTAAACTGCTATCAAATAATCCTAATATATGCAGTCATAAAAGAGAATAATAAGATTAATTACAGTTAATAGAGAACAATAATTTTAAGTTATTTATAGTTTGCTGTTATAACTGGTAAACCTACATCAAATGGACAGTCCGAAATCAAGTTAAACAGAATTTTATCATAAAAAACAATATTTAAGGAAATTATTATTTTCAGTTATCATTAAATAGGCTGTAAAATCACCTCTTTGCATAACCTTTTATATAGGATTTCCATATCAACCTTTCTTTGAAGGAATGTGAATTTTTCATACTAGATTTCTTAAACAAATTTTGTAGGAGTGAATGATATGAAATAATTTGTAAAACCATCAGTTTTAGTTCACGTACTAACTTCAAAAGTTATCACACCACTAATAATAAGAGCTTCATTAGTGAAGATACTTGCAATAAACTGACAGTGATATAATCAGATAGTTTAAATTAAAAGTCATAGCATTAAACTTTACAAGTCATTAAGTTTATTAAACCGAATAAACGGATAATTTCGTGGATCAACTGTATTGTTGAACGTTATTGCTTCTGACGAATTAGTGTAAATAATGGCTGAAATTAGGGTAATATCTACAACTGATGCTAGCTCGAGTGATTAGTTTTATTGTTACCACAGATCTGAAGTTATTTAAACTTATTATAACAGACTTGACTTAATCTACTCCTAGTTTTATTTATACGTTCACTACAGTATACGTAAGCACGAAGTTTTCCCCTTTAAAAATCTGAGTTCAAGTGAATGGTTAACCCTTAGATTAGCAAGGTGACTTTCAAATATCTATCATAAGCTTTAAATTTAATCATTTTCTTGCTCAGTCTTAAACTTATTATTGAACAAAACCAAATAAATGTAAGTTTTGAATAAATGGATTGTCTGTAAGTGGAATTTAGGAAGCGTGTTTCGTCCCAGATTATTGTTCACATTTGGAGTCTAACTAAATAGCTATCAACAACAGGTTAACATAAAAACTTAATCATAACGACACAAATATTTGTCAAGTTGAAGAAAAACAAATTGCAAGATTTCTCCTATCAGCTTTTTGTTTTTATGAAATACTGATAATAATTTTTCAGTATTTTTTGCTTTGTACGTCGTAAAAGTCCCAAACTAGAACAAAAACACTGGTTAATAGCTACTACTTTTCAATAACTTTCCAAATGACATTCGTTTGTGATGAAAGCTACTCAATTAAAATAAGCTGTTATAAAATCACCTAACTAAACGCTTTTTATTTGTTTGAAATTTTTGACACAGTTTAAGATGTCATCATCATAGAAAGCACATATAGTTTATTTGACCATAAACAAGATAACAAGAAATATACGTAGTCCTTGAAATATTTAAGAAAACTAAGCAAGATCGCCAAATGAAAACCCCTGTTGTGAAGAATAAAGCTGGTAATTCACTCGTATTTATTAGCGTAAATAGTGGTTATAATAACTCCTATTTACATTACGCTGAGTTTTAGTGAGTAGTTTATTTGGTTTGTTATGGCACGTTTAGCGTTCATATATATGTTGCAACCATAGTTTTCATTATTTTATCACTTTCAGTGCATGAGCGTGGTTTATCAGTTATTTTTTTGAAGATGATGTTTCTGAATCTCATATCACTGTAGTTGATGAGGAACTGAAGGTTATAAACCATGAGGAAAAGATCGTGATCGGTGCACAATCAACTATACATAATGTCAACGTTCATTATCAAAGTTTATTGTGATATATTTGGTAAATAAAAGTACCACTACATTTTTATTAACCTAATATTATAAATGTATAAGTCTGGAGAATGATAACTCGAGAGCTATCTGGTAAACTGATCCAAAGGTCAGTCATAAATAGAAATAATAAAAGCACAACAATACGAACAATTTTCAATAGAACAACGGTTTTCAAAGAGTATTATGTAAAGTGTTGTCACATTGTAATATTAGTAGAAAAATCACTGATAACTGCAAAATACTGGATCCCATTCTAGTTCAAGTCTTGTTGAGAGTTCTCAGGATCAAATTGAACTAGAATCATATACATGAATAATAGCTTCAGTATAGAATCATCGAATACCTAAATCATAGTCCAATATATAAACTAATAGACCTAGAATATTTAGTGTTTTTTAGTCACCTTTCAGCACAACGAGTTAATGATCACTATTTAATAAAGTATTGTTGTCATCGACGTAACATATGTTCATTCATGATGCAAACAGATTCTAACTTATAAAATGATAGATTAGATTTTATGAATACGTTATATATATTACTGAAAAGCTAAAATGTCTGTTCAGTTCAAGTTACAAGATTACAGTTTATCGAGAAGAAAGATAGAGTCATGGTTTACATCTTGTAATCCATAGAAATAAGTTTTACAGTGAAATGCATTAGCTTTTGTACAATCCGAAAAGATATGGACAGCAACAAAACAAGTGAATTTATTCATGTCTAGTTAAAATGACTAGCCAATTATACTAGATGCAAAATAGCTTCACGTTTCAACATGCACAGAATAATGCGCGTCATATTTATTCAATTAGACAGATTTCTATGTAAAGCATTTTACTTTTGTTTACTTGTTTACTCTCCATAAAATGTCTTATCAATTATATTCGTTTCAAATTATTGTTACCATCAATATAACAATTGTCTGTGAGAAATACATACCAAATATTAATGGAAAAATACATGTAAGCACTTACCAGCTTATGAGTTGAATTAAATTAATGAATAACATTTCAATTAGTCATTTCTAATTTTTCTTTATTGTCATATTAACTGTGTTTGTTCTTACTTGATTATTCATTTACTGAAGATGATTATTCATTCTTTCATGTATAATTTGTTTTATTTAATTATAACGTGTTATCAATCAGGAATATGCAACTTAGAATCTGGCACATTGGCTCAATTTGTTATACTCTATTAGGATAACGAAATAAAATTGGTAAAACCATTACTAGAGTAGTACATGTAGTAATAATAATAATGATGGGACGAAAACTAAGGCTTTGGTGGTACAATTCGAGTAAAGAATATGGATAAATTGAATAAAAATGTTTTTAAAAAGTAATTCAGGAAATTTATTAGTCAGACTGATTCTAACGTGGTTATTATAACAGAATTTTTGTCCTTTCTTAGAAACTAATGTGGACAGTATTCAAGGCTAGTTAGATAGGATTACGAAATACAATTACTGTAGTTGTAAGCAAAGATGGATAGTGGCTAGCAGTGAAATCCAGGACCAGCTACAGTCCAAAAACATCGATGGGAAGATTCAAACAAACAATACTAAATGAATTTAAACTTCACCCCATTGCACAAGCAAGTGGCTATCAGGACTCAGTGGCCATGTGGATAACGCCATGGCGTTTGAAGCGAAAATTACTGGGTTCGGATCCCAGTGTGAACATCAACTCTGAGATGCAGATACATCCAGCTGACGAGTCTCAAATAGGACGAAACGCACGTCAAACTGGATTCCACTGCTAGCCACTATCCTTCTTTGCTTACCATGCTTGTGAATTAAAGCTATATCGAGGCAATACGTACAGTATGCACATATGCCA